GATATAAGCTCAGATATTTGTGTAATGAAGGAATTGCTCTTGTCCTTGTCTCAGATCAAATGGAAGGGAAGAAGAAACAAAAGATGAAAACTCTGTTTATCAGAAGCTTGATTTAGTCTATTTGAACTTCCTTATCCATAAAATGGGGCTATAATTTTAAATATATTATAATTTCCAATGCTAATTTCATTAATCAGAGACAAGAATCTCTTTTAAACATATTTAAGAACCAAATAGAATGCTGCTAAAGAAGTTTTTGCTTTTCCTCTTCGGTTTCTCAAAAAAAAAAAAAAATCAGGTTAACTTAGATGATAAAGACGTTGTAAATAAGAACAAGAGGATATCAGTTCCCACTTTGAGAAAAGAGACTTACTTTAAGAAACAAGTTGGGGAGTAATCTAGGGCATGCTCACACAGGAACAACTTTGTATGTGCCATCCTTGCATCCCCAAATAGGAAGATAAAATTTGAGCTTGTCAAAACTAGAGAGTTCATTATGGCATTTGAATTTCAGTTCCTTGTGTCCTGAATTTTAATGATAATAATTAATATCAATACAAAGGATTACAGTTTTCAAAGTTCTCTATAACTTCATTTTACTTTCACAACAACTATGAAAGGACTGTTTTGCAGAAGAAGAAAATTAAGCTCAAGCCAAGTGAAATGACCCTCCCTGCACAGGGCAGCTGAAGCTACACTGCAGTCAGATTCCAATTCAGCACTCTCCCCACTGTTTGGATGGTACTCTGCTAGATCTGAGGGATGCGAATGGGATTAGTAACAGTCAAATGGCTTGCACTTCCACCAGTTGGATATTTGTGTGAGCCACTAATCACTGTCATTCTAAAAAAGAAAAAGAAAAAAAAAAAGAAGAAGAAGAAAAGATCTGTGTTGTCATGGCAATAGTTTAACATTGTAATAATTAAAGCTTTTATTAACTGACTAGCTAAACTGTGACTTAGAATATACACTATTTACCCTGTAATTAGGACAATGGTTTACAAGAACAAAAATGTTACTATGTTTTTGACTCCTGTTAGAAGAGGCTTTGATTTCTTTTAGAAGAGGATTTACAGCCTGAAAAAATCATATTCAGGGCATAAAGAAGACATTTCTGATCTTTGAGGGAAGGATAGAAGATTTAAGTTTTATTACATTGAAGAGTATGAGTGTGAACTAGGGAATAAATCCATAAGAAATAAGAATCAGAATCTCATTGCATGGGTAAAAGTGATTTTAACAGAAATATTTGATTACTCAATAAAATATCTCAAATATTTTAGGAACATTGCACAAACCAGATTAGAATAGATCAGTTTAGTACCTCACAATATATTGTTATTATTATTTTCATGTATTCTCTTTGACCATTTTCCTAAGTCCAGTGTAGGCTACTGATCCTATAGATACCTGTGCAGATTTCAAGGTCAAATTACATTTCATGGCATGCCTAGTAAATGAAAATGGGATAGATCTAAGGAAACAGCACTTCAAAATTTAAGTTGGTAAAAAAAAAAAAAACTTTGCTTATATACTTGGTTATAGAAACTAAAATATTGAATTTTAAGTTCAGTATGATTTTAATTAATAGAATTAGTAGCTAATTCTCTCATTTGAGGTAAAGTAGTCCTAGTGTATCTCTCTGTATACAAACAATTTTTTAGTTTAGTCAAATTTTAACTTGACCATTTTTAACATATAATATAGTATAAATTGTAAACACATTTTCCTTTGACCCTACTTCAAAATATGTCAATTTTTTATAAGATGTACCACAACAGTAAACGTTATAAGAATGTTTTACATAATGTCTAATTATAATTTAACTTACAAATTGAACATTTTTGTTCCCTTTCAATTCTTGGTAACTAGTCAAGGAAGTGAAAAACATCTCTAAAAATACATCTCAAGCTATTTCAACCAAATAAACTTTGGATCTGATTGGATTATATAAGTATGTTATAAATAATGTTTAAGTGAAAAAGTTATATAAAAGCATATATAAATAATTTTTCAATATATCATGTGATTACTTAGTAGAATGACTAATTCCTGAAATAATGTAATTAGGCAGCATAACTAGGAATATGATAGTAGAGCATGGTGGTCACGGGTGTGGCCACTAGGCCCAGGCTCCCTCAGTCAGATTTTAATTTGAGCACCAGCCTAGCTGTGCTACTTTGAATAAATTATGCCTCTGTGCCCCGGGTCCTCACATGTAAATTAGAGAACACTATAGTATGTACTTCATAGGGTTACAGGAGGATCAACTGAGTTGATAAGAATTTAAGCTTGTACCTGCCAAATCATAAGTACTCATTGTTAGTCTTTACTAGAAAAACCTAAAGAGCAAGGATGCATTTTAATTTTTTAACTGTGAAAAAATCTGATAGTTTATTAATTTTTTCCTGTCTTTTATTATTCTCCGTTGATATTATCCTAATTATCACTGGATATTATTTTCTCTCATTCTGTTTCTTGTATTCTTCAGCACATGATCTGATGCTGGATGTAATATCATTTTTTCTGTAAGTCTTTTCATCCACATAATTGCAATAGCAATCTGCAAGTTCCTTATTCCAGGTAAAGCCAAGCAGGATGTTGGAGATCTTTTGAAAATGCTACAGTATATTTTCACGTTTGCCTCTGGCACTGTTCTGCCACTATACCAGTCTTAATATGTAGCCCAATTTACGGTATATGTACTGAATTGTAATTCCTTTAATTTTTTTGAGAAATCTGTGACTAATACAAATAACAGACAAAGAGTTGTTCATACTCTCACAACTCATTTTGGTTTATCTTTATCTGTACAAGAGGAACTATAGAGAAAGGCTAAATAAGTTGAAGTACAGCTCTAAAATTTTTTTATGGAGTTGTTTCAGTAACTTCATCATTTCAGTTCAGTTGCAGATAATAAGAAAATATAAGAGAATGAAATTGGCAACACCTCAGACTATATTTCTGATTTTAACAAATCCCATTTTGGTAATACCATGGATATTTAAACCTATTAAAATTATCAAAGAACCAAAGAATGACAGAATCACACAACCATTCAGGGTTATACAACCTCTAACAGTTTAGCACCTCACTTGAGGCAAAAATCCTTTTCTTCATCATCTAATCTCCGTTTTAATTATCCCAGTGTGGAGAAGTTCATTACTTCATCATGTTGGATAGCTCTAGATATTTTAAAATGCTTCCCTTTATGAAGCTGAAGTTTGCCTACCTACGGCTTCCATAAATCCCTATTGTCATGAAAGTTCTTCAGGCATTAGCAGACAGTTAGCATTAATTCTATCTTTGCCCTTAGCCCCTGTTTTTTTTCCTCTCCTTTTTAGGTTCAACATCCTTGTTTTTTGATGTTCACTAAGTTTTTAATTCCTATTTAGGAAATCAATGTGCATGTATGAATCAATGATTTAAATATTCATTAAGCAATGTCCTGAGTATCAGTGTTATAAAGGTGTGGAACTCGACTCAATAGACAACAGAAGTGAATAGAGGATTTTGAAGTGAGTTACCTGAGAGTATGCTGAAGACTACTGAAGAAAGCAAGGATATGGTGATGAGGATTTGGACTGAGCAGAAATGGAAAGGGAATGGGATGGATAAATATATGAGATCAACAGATTTAGAAAACTGAATAAATCTCATGGATGAAGGGAAGGTGATTCAAAGCACATTGCATGTTTCCAAGTATGAGTGACTCATAAAAATGTTAGTGCTGTTAGTGATTTTAAAAGAGAAAACTGGTTTCAGAGAAAAAGGGAGAAATAGATGAGTTTGCTTGAGTTTAGGTAGAATTAATACATCCGTTTAGAAATATTCATTGGATTTCTAAATTGGAAGACTTAGAGATATAGGATTTAAAATTATTGTAGCTAGGAAATATCTGTGGAACTATCAGATTCAAGACAACAATTATAGTCTAAGAACAGATGATTAGTCTGATGGACAGACCAAGGAGAGACAAGAAAAAAGACCTTGGACTAAGTCTGGAGGAGACAAATGGATTAGTATAGCTTATTCTGTAAGTTATGGTGTTAAGAGAAGCAGGTCTTAAGGCAGATCACATTTAGAAGACATTAGTAAGCTTACGTATTAAATAGTCTGGAAATTTTGACAAGAAGAATAGTAATAGTGATTAAGGAAATTCAGTTAGAATTTTTAAAACTGTTATTTTGACCCCAAATTCTAGAGTTCTACTTTTATTGTTTCCTTAGAGCTTCTAAAGCCAATCTATGTTGAAAAAAGGAAAATGTACTCAGTTTGTCTGTCACAACATTATATTCTTTGTAAAAGTAAATATACAATTATTTATTTTATGTATTAGAAATAACATATGAGGACATGTGAATATATATTTAATACTGTAACAACTAAAACATGAAATTTATGAGACCCAAACATCCACATGGAAATAAAACAGTCATATGAATACTTTATCTGTATGAAGTTTACACTAGATACACCCAGGTGATTGACAGCATATTTTTGTGCAATATTGAATTTTGTTGGTAATCACATTTCTTTATGTGCTTATTATTATTCAAAGTACCAAATTCAAAGCCTCATAAAATGTATATCTGTGAGTTTCAGGTGTTTCTAGAACTTGAGGAGGCTTCTTCTTGAATATTGCATATATCACTTTTCAAAAGTATTTATGCATGTGTGTGTGTTGGTGTGTGTGTCTATTTAAACATATATATACATATACATATGTGTGTATATAATATATATATATCATTTGAATTTAATTAAATATATATATCATATGAATTTAATTCCTATTTAGGAAATCAATGTGCATGTATGAATCAATGATTTAAATATTCATTAATTAAATTCATATGATATATATACATATATATATATATATATATATATATATATATATATATATAAATATATCTTGGTGAGGAGAGTTTATGTACCTTTTTATAATATGGTCATTAATTTGATCTGCCTAAATGATATGTTTTGTGTGTGTACAGCCACAATTCCTTCAGGAGACATCTACCAAGGCAAATGCAAGTGTCCAGTGTTGATTACAGTATGGGCACTGAACCTGTTTTACAAAGAGGAGAAACAACCACCAGCATTGGGAGGATAAAACCAGAGCTGTACAAACAGAAGTCAGTTGACTCCGAGGGCAACAGAAAAGAAGATGTCAAAACCTGTGGGAAACTTAACTTTACCCTGCAGTATGATTATGAAAATGAACTTCTAGTTGTCAAAATTATCAAAGCCCTAGATCTTCCTGCTAAAGACTTCACAGGAACATCTGACCCTTATGTGAAGATGTATCTTCTTCCAGATAGGAAAAAGAAATTTCAGACCCGTGTACACAGAAAGACTTTAAATCCTCTGTTTGATGAAACTTTTCAATTTCCAGTAGCATATGATCAACTAAGCAACCGAAAACTCCATTTCAGTGTATATGATTTTGACAGATTTTCTAGACATGACATGATTGGCGAGGTGATTCTGGATAACTTGTTTGAAGTCTCTGATCTCTCCAGGGAAGCCACAGTCTGGAAAGATATTCATTGTGCTACCACAGTAAGTAATAATTTCACCATTATATTGTTGTTGTTTTTTACCTACAGGAGATGAATTATTACCTAGATTATTAGGATGAATTCTACAGAATTCTAGAATTTAGATCCTAAGAACCTGCAAAGGTAGGATTTGTTTATATTGTCATCATCATCGTCGTCATCACCATTATCAGCATCATCATAACTTGGGTACCTAACATAATACAGATAAAATTAGTTATTGTGTAAATATCTAATTAGCCCTTTATAAATTACCAAAATTAGCAGACTTTTCTCTTATAAAATATTTATATGTAACTTACCATCAGCACCTAATTTCCTCATGTTTAATATTGAATTTCATTATTTAATGTGATTTTGTGCATCAGATCAAAACTGAAAATGTACTATGATGTTATTCAGTTTGATCAAACACAATCCATTACTTCAGAAGCCTTCATGGAATTCATATGATTACAGCAGATGAAATACAGAATGATCAAGAAGTGGTCACACTATAATACTACTTTTTCATTATGAAATTCTTTTTCCAATGATAAAGTAATATTAATTTGTTACTGAAAATTTTGAAAACAGTCAAAATGCATAGCATAAAATTAAGACAATAAACAATACTACCAATTATATAAATATTTTGGTATACTTCTTTCCAATTTTTGCTATGTATAAGTTAACATAATTAAATCATACTGTTAAGGTTTTTCAGCATAATTATCTTTCATATTGAATCTGTTTTAATGCATGTTTTAAATATATAATCCATTTTATTATTGTTAGATGTTTAATTTAGGCATAAATTTTTATACTAAAATTATAGTTTTTCATATCTGTTTTTTTATTTGACTTTGTCTATGATAGAATTCTAGAAGTGGAATTAAAGAACTGGTTTCTTAGGTTAGATTGCTAGATAGTTTTTGGTTTATTAGTTTTAAAATGAGATCATTTGGCTTCTTCCCAGGTAGTCTATGTATTTTTAAATTTTTACCAAAATTAATAACCTTAAAATATTGCAGTTTTGAATAGAGAGGTATTACTAAGAAAAAGAAAGAATAATTTTCCAATTAAAAATAGTTCCTTTTGGACTAGGGTTGTAGCTCAGCAGTAAGCACTTACCTGGCATGTGTGAGACACTGGATTTGATCCTTAGCACCACATAAAAATAAATAAAATTTTAAAATAGTTCCTTTTTGGGGCTGGGTTGTGGTTCAGTGGAGAGCACTTGCTTAGCATGTGTGAAGCACTGGGTTCAATTCTCAGCACCACATAAAAAATACATAAATAAAATAAAGGTATTGTGTCCATCTACAACTAAAACAAAAATTACTTTTTAAAAAATAGTCCCCTTTTGTGTTTTGTCCGCTTATCAGTATTTTGATAATTGCAGTCAGTATTTGGGTTGATTGTGCTATTATTATGAATTATGTAGATAAAGTAATTTAAAAGTTTATCCTGCCAATTTAATACTGTATTACATCATGTTAGTTTTTATTTCATGGTCTCCATTGTAATATTGATTAGGAAACAAAGAAGGAATTTTGAAACTGAATCATATTTCAAAGGCACTCTGGAGTTCTTTTGATTTCACATTAGTTTTTCACTTTCTTGCTTGAATTCCTACAGGGAAAATATAGTGAGCAGTGCTTTTTACAGCTTTTAAAAACATGACAGCTTCTAGAATTCTACAGATGCAGATTGTAATTAGTTGTTATTTCTTTGACTCTTTAGTCTTATTATTCCTTTGATTATTTTAACAAATAAGTTCTGAGTGCCTACTCTGTTTTGGCATGCTTTAAGTATTAAAGATGCAACAACACATTTCTGTAAAAACAAATTTTTGAGGCATGTTCTTTTCATACAATCAGGTTCAGAGATAGGTAATCAGCAAATGAAGTCTAAAATTATTGTAATTTTCTGGGAGATTGGTAGTAAATCTTAAAATTTTTTAAAATCATCAGCTTCTGTATCCCAAATTGGTTCTGAGATGAAGGTATTTCTTTTGAGTAAGAAAATAATTTGTGTGTAAAAAATTAATTTTCATGTAGGGATCATCTTACTATATATCACAACTATAGCAAGCCAATTACTTCTATATCAACATGGAAATATCCCTAACAAAAGGAACTATCACAAGGAAAAGCAGTGTATATCAAATACCACTATTTCTGTGATCAGAAAGTAAACTACATATTCAGTTACACGTACAAAAAACATATCTATGTAAAGACACCCATTAATTAAATAATAAACTGGCAAATGTGGTAAAACTGGAGGAAGGAATATAGAAAGGGAATGACTTGCAACTTACTGCCTTATGTATTTTTCTTTTAATTTTTTAACCATATTGTTCAAATGTTTAATTAGCTCTTGAAAAATTTGATCACTATAGAGACTAATGTATTTTGAATACTTAAATGTAGTTTTCCTTACACTCAAGAAACCATTGAAAGTATAAGAAAATGAGGAAAAGATTTCCCTTTTTTCAACAGAATCAACTTCATTTTGCATATTTATTTATTTACTCATCTATGCAGTAAGCATTTTTTCACAACATTGTTCTGGATACTTAAAAATTCTCACAAGAAAGTAAGGTTCATGTGCACACCACATTGACCTAGTTTACAGGTATGAAATGTTTGAACCCATTATTTTCTAACTTAGCATCTGTCAAGTATTATTTGTAAAAGCAGGCCTTGACATAACAATATAAGAAATTGTGCTTATTGCACCAACCATTCAGAGTACTAAATGTTCTGATGAGTATTGAAGTAATGTATTTCATTACACGTTACTAAAGTTTTTTAAAATGTTTTAAATGTTTTTTTCTTATGTGTGCAATATATTTTTAATTTTACCCCCAATTATACTGGATCTATTACAGGATCAGAATAATATCTCCTCATATATTAAAACATATATGAGTGTGTGTGTGTTTGTGTGTGTGTGTGTGTGTGTGTTTGCATATGTATAGGTTTTTTGCATTTCATCATTAATTAGAAAAAGTTATAACTATGGAATAGTGTATTAGCTAATAACATTTTAGAATGTGGCAAAATTCCAATCCCATTATAAGAAAAAGTGTTGTAGATGTCAGGGTAGCAGAGAATGGACATTTTGGTCAGGGGCTGTCTGCATCTCCTGAGATGTAGCAGGCAGTACTGTAGCCACAGGTCTGCAGGTCCATAGGTCGGGACAGCTGGCCCACCCCACATCTGTTCCTCTTTGAGCAGACCTAGTTTGTTCTGTGTGTCATTTCTGTAGTAAACCTAACCCTAGATTGCTATGGATTACACATTTGCTTATGGAATAACAATTAATTGATTACAGATTGACTCAAATGACACAAGTTTTGTGAACCTATCTTTAAGATCTTTGAGTCATCTTGTAAGAACTGACAGGAAGCATGTCTGTTGAAGTATAAAAATGAATTAAATTTAAGTCAAGCCTCAAATTATAGGATCTATCATAGATGATCACAAACATATGAGAGTTCTCAAAGCATGATTCTTCCTAGTCTAACACCTGCCCAATTCAGGCACACTTGAAAAGAATTCTGAATCACGAATATTTAATAATTCATAAATCACCACTGTTTGTTACATTATTTTTTACATTAGATCACATTATGTACATTTATAGAAAAAGGTTTCATTGTCTGTTGAGATTATTCTGACCATCCTTGAATTTCATGGGAAAGGTTGTAGGTAAATTGGCTATAAAACAGCCCAATGCTTCTGTTAGTTTTTTATTAACAGTTTAAACAGAGGTTTTCTGTAATAGTAATTACAGAGTTCTGTTTCACAAAACAAATATTCAAAGTTAATGCAAACATGAAATTTAAATTTGTACCACTAGTGTTAAACTCAATTCATCATGGATGCCACACTTTTTAGACAAACAGAATTATTGCATTAACTTCCCTGCCTCTACCTATAGTTTGGGAAGGTAGTCACAGGGATAATGGGGAAGCTACATGGCAATTATAATCTTCACAAGTAAAATGATGTAGAAATTAAATCTGGAAATGATGTAGGTGCAATGAATTTAAGGAAAATAATCATCTTGCTTTTTAAACAATCTCAAATATTATCACTAAAATATGTTTGTAGCCATTCCTTAAGCAACTACATTGGCTACCCATTTCTGAATGATACCCTTTCACAATGAGTCAGAGTCAGAGAGAGAAAATTCCAGGTAAGCTCATCTAGCTCCTTATAGGCCATGGAAGGAGCTTCAGGATTTACTTACTCTAAGTAACATATAAGACCATTGTTGGGTTTTGTTCAGAGAGGAGCCATAGTCTCATTTAGTCTCATCAATAAGATCTATGACTACTACTATGTGGAGAATAAACTTTGAGAGGCATATATGGTAGCATTTATAAATCAATTTGAGATAGATACTAGAATAATGAAACCAAGTTTATTCAGTCCAGGTGTCCAGTTACAGCAATACTTAAGGGATTCCTTTAGTTAGGAATGGTTTTGTAAATTATTTAAATAATTTTACAAAGATGCTTGGAGAGCTGTATATGGTTTATTGAATGATTTACTATGCCCCTATCTATAAATGATGATTAAAATTTAAGTGAGTCTCTAATTCCTTTCACCAAGAAGCTTATGAACTCTCTCAACCAGTATATGCTGAAAGAGTTCTTACTAAATGTGTATCTTTTTATTTTCCAAATAACTCTTGTCCCAGTATCTGTGGTGGGCTATTCCCTCTTTGCTTCATTACACAGGTAGTGAGACCTAATTTGCTAAATCAAGGAAAAGTTGTTTCAAGGTCCCAGTTCTACCTCTCTAACCTGAATGCTTCATGGCTGCTGGTAGCTAATGTCCATGTCTGTGTTGGGTAAGAGCTTAACAATCTTGGCAGAGTTATTTCCCACTTGGATGAGAAACTGAAAATGAGTTTCCACTGAGCAGAAACATGGGCACTCTTAAATAGCATCCCTGGCAACTATAGTTCTGCGTTGTTATCATTAATCATGCAATACCCACT